GCAGGTGGATGGAGCCCTGTGACACCTGGATTGAAGCCGAGGAGACCCATTTTGGACTTCTGACCTGCAGAACTGTACTAGTAAGATTTATAGGAATAAATAATAAAGGAATGAAAATAGGTTGTTTAAAGCTACTAGGTTTGTGGTGATTCATTACAGTGACAAGAGGAAGCTCAGACACCCAGCTGGAAAGTGGCAGAGGCAGAAACTGAAGCTGCAGTGGACGTCCCAGCCTCCAGCTGCCCCTCGGGCTCGCCTGAGTGATGCCAGCATCCTGCCTTTCTCTTCTCCCACCCTGCCCAAGGTCTCTCAGGGCGGGAGGAAAAGCCTAAGGTGAAGGCAAGGGGAGAAGCCTGGATCCCAGGCCAGTCAGGGTCTCAGCTGTGCTCCTCGCCCTGCGATCCGCAGCTGCCCCGTCTCTCCCCTGCTGTGGGGTTGTGGAGCTGAAGAGTGTGTCTCTGGGCGAGGTAGGGCCTGTGCCAGCTGCCGGGTGGGAGCGTGGAGGAACTGTGGGGCAAGGCTCGTGGTCTTTGGCCTGAGGCGCATGCAGCCGGGCTGCACTTCATTTGGGTTCTCTTTCCTGGTTGCTTTGAAGGTGGGGATGGGTGGGATGAGGGCGTATCTGAGGGTGTGCTAGGGGGCCCCTGTGTGTCTGGGTGACTGGTCGTGAGGAGAGTCTGAGGGCCCTGTGCATCAGGGGTGTGTGTGTCTCAGGTCCCGTGGCCTCTCTGGCAATGTGTGGGAAAGCATGAGTGTGCAGTGTGTGTACTCAGGGCCCTGCTGTGTGTCTACTCACACCCCGTGTGTGTGGATGTGGGGTGACTAGGTGTGAATATATGTCTCTCATGCCCCTGGGTGGGTCTGTGAGTGTGAATAGGTGTGCGGGTGCCTACCAGGGGCTCTGTGTGAAAGAGGTCTGCTCATGTCCCTGTATGTGAATGTGGGAATTTGGGTGTGTCTACTCACACCCTGTATGTGAATGCCTGTGAATATGAGTGTGCAAACACATCCACTCCTGGCCCTGTGAATGTGTGAGTATGCAAGCATGCTAGTGTGTCTGTTTCTGCCAGTAGGAGTGTGTGAACATGCATGAGCACATCTGCTCATGCCCTGTGTGAATGAACATGTGAGTACTTACGCCCCTGTGTGTCTGAGTGTGTCTGCCTCCCCCTGTGTGTGTGAACATGTGCGTGCATGTGTGTCTGCACCTTGGCCCCTCCCCCAGCCAGCCAGCATTGCCTCACCCCTGTGACACAGCAGCTAATGACTATTTGCCATTGTCTGTGCAGCGGTGGCATCACCCGCACTAATGACAGTCTCCCCTGTCTAATGACCTGGCTCCTGCCCCATCATTTAGGAGCCTCAGGAGCACTGGCCCTGTGGCCAGAGATGTTGACAAGCTCAACACATTTCCTACTGGGGTGTCAGTGGGGGTGGGGTGCGTGTGGGCTTGGAATTTCGGCTGGCTGGTGGCCTTCCGGGCGGGAAGCCCCAGGTCTGGCCCTGCCCTCTACCTCAGCAGGGGTGGGTGGCTGCTGCCCCGCCCTACAGGGTGCCCCTGGACTCTGGTAGCCAGACCCATATCATAAGGTGACCAGATTTTAACATTGGTAAAGCGGGACACCATTGACCTGGGGGGGTGCTGACAACAATGCAAACTTTGATAAACAGTTCTCGATAATCAGTTCTCAACAATTATTTGTTATTATTAAAGTTTAACATTATAAAAACACAAATAATATAAAACTCATATCCTGGCAAAATAGCCACATGGCAGCTGAAAACCATATATTCCCTTTCTGTTCTCCCACGTTCCCTAGCTTGTTGTGCATTCTTTCCAAAAATTGGGGCTTTTTAAAAATGCTGCAGGACAATTTTTTAAAAATTGGGACTGTCCTGCTAAAAGCAGGACGTCTGGTCACCTTACTCTAGATTGGGGGGGGGGCGCTCCTTGTTTGTTCCAGACAGTTTGGCTCCTTCTGAGCTAATTGTCCTTGCCTAGAAGCAAGAGAGGGAGCCAGTCTCCTTCTGGTACCGATTCCACCTGGGTGACCTTGCCCAGGAGGGGAGTAGGGAGTTTACATTAGCCTTTTCTTTTCTTTTCTTTTTTTTTTTTTTTGAGACAGAGCCTCAGGCTATCCCCCTGGGTAGAGTGCCATGGCTTCACTGCTTGCAGCAACCTCCAACTCCTGGGCTCAAGCGAGTCTCCTGCCTCAGTCT